GCTGGATCAGTGTTTCTCAAAGATATGGTACGAACTTCGGCCTGCTGTAATTTATCCCTACCTTGTTTCTCTAACTTTTTTCAACTCATTCTGTCGGGAATATGTGGGTCTTTCCACAGTCCGATTGCTTTCTTTTCGAACCCTATTTAGTATCTCTGGTACAATGATGATCGGATCTCATCGCCAAGTATCATGACATTCTATTTCAACTTCCTGGCTCTCGAAGTTACATCCCCTGACTCTTATTTTGGCTTCTGCTCATTCGTTTGTCTTCTTTCTCCTTATCATTTTCAGTTATAACACTTTACCGTTCCAGTATCCATATGTTGACATGTGAATGTTATTGAACCTTCTGAATCACATGGCCGATAGCAAACGTTTAATAACTGTTAGTAACAATAATACTGCAGTCGTTTGTCAACTACGAAATCCAAGGATGTGAGTGAGAAGTATTCTCCATAGCTTGAAAATAGGTATAGTATAATATGTATATTAGGTATATTGTTCAAAAAGAATACCGTTTCTGGTTACAACAGCTCGTAACTTGAAATAAGGGTTTCGAAAAGAATTTTGTTGGTCCGACCGTTTTTGGTATTGTTTAATATCTGAATTAATCTGTGAATGTCGTTTCACACAAATAGTTAACTAGTAGTTTTTGGTACCGAGTGCGGATTGAAATGCATGTTCATCGAAATTAGTTCATAAGAGGTTTGTCTTTGCCTTAGATTGAGGTTCAGAGCGATGCTAAGGGCCATGTGGTTCCGACCACAGTACCAAAAGCCAAAGTTATAGAAATGTAGTCACATTAAATCATCCAACAGCATATAGGGATGGCACTTTATGCTGATCATCACGCCGAATAGACAGCTGCTAGCTGTGTGAAGGCGAATTGCAACCGTAAGAGGCGGTCGCCTCAGGCACTACAATTCTTCCTTTCAGCCGTTCTGATATCTCTCCCTGTTGTTCACAAGTCTCCGACTCGCTACCCCTTTTTTGGCTAGTCGCACCGAACCAATGTGGCTCTAATTTCTTGCATATGGGATTTAGCCGTTAAGGCAATTTTTTCTCAAGAGGGTGGTTTTAATGGATCATTTTCTCTTATGTGGTTGTCGCTGTTTCTAATGGTGATAGTAATCAAAGCTAAAGCTTATCAGTTAACAAATTAACGAATGGAATGAAGGAAACGATGGAACTGTTGGAAGGTCGGTTTTCCTTACACTTTCATGACGAGGCTCTTTCTTGTGCCCCTCTTTTCATGAAGTTAATGTTGGGACACTAATCTCCATTTCCATCTCACCGATCAGGACAAAGTCAGTAGCAGATACGTGTCAAGCATAAAAGATGTTGAGCACTTTTCAGCAGCGCTGTTTGCAAAGCATTCTGGAAGTGTGATGGTTCCATCGATTGAAAATACCTTGCTGGTGACCGACCTGAAAATGGTGTATGAGAAAATCAGGGACCGGAGTCTTTCGTGGTTTTACAGAAGCATATGGAGAAAAAATCGAGACATATCCAAAACCAGTCTTCTGTGGGGAGCAAAAAATGGCCGCAGACGCGTCGGAGGTCAACATATCGCATCGTAAAATAGTTGTTGGCGTGGAACTTGTATATTATATTGACTTCAGTATGACAGTATCCAGCTCCTAAATCATTCTTAGAAGACAAAGTTCCAAGTATCACTGATTTGTGTATTGGGTCTTTGACCGTGATGCCTCAGATGACGATGACAGCAACAGGCATAACGGTAGTTTCTTTCCCACAGTCTTACTCATTTATCGATCTCAGAATGATCTGACCGAGGGTCTAACTCGGGATCTATCCGTTCTGAATAGAGCGCTCTGCCGACTGAGCAACCCCAGTGTAGCCAGATTATTAGATTCTTACTTACGTATAATACCGTTTCCTCGTACTTTTAGTACGGTCCATGTCACAGTCGTTACAACAGAGGACTGAATATGGCACAGGATTTCTTTATATGGAAGATCATGGTCTTAACAACATCTTCGGAATGGGCAAACAACGTATAAAACTGTTTTTGCTCTTGAACTGTGAATACCCATCGTACTAAACTTCAGTTTGTAAAAACAAATCTCAGTCAAACATTTTCGATTACCTCTTATCGTTTAAGGTCGGGGGAGGCAGACACGTCATATAGTATTTTCAGCTTTCATGATCCTATACCAGCGCTTGAGATTCATCAGAGAATTACCCAGTTCTGAGGCAGAGTGTACTGAGACACTTCCTCATGTCACTCTTCGACTTCCCCGGGGTTCTTCGACTGGTAGGTTGGGCAAGTAGTAGTTGCTTCGCCTTCCTTTCTGGACGCATTCGCAAGACGTGCGGAAACGTGACTTGATAATCTGAGAAGCAGCAACTGCACACTAAGGCTCTCTCATATGTTTGATCTTCGTCTTCTCCGAGGGGCGTCAGTTCAGCGATTCATCTCAGAAAGCCTATTTCAGCCGAATATAGCTATATTGCCGTTTTGCAGTCGTGGCCCACGACTCATAGCCGTACGTGAACATCGGGATAAGATCGAGATTCTAGTTTTCAGGCTTAGCTCTGTTTTAGTAACAACTCTTCGAGCTAGTTCTCATGAAACACCTTTGACCACCCCTTTCGCCAGTCGATCTCTTTACCCCATTTCCCATCAGCGGAAAACACGGCTTCGAGGTAGGTTTAAAACAGATGCATGTAAATAAATATTTTTTGTGGTTATCACC